ACCCTTCGCTGAAGCTTTCGGGAACACATAGAATCAAATTTGGAAAAGCAAATCAACGACTATGCGTCGAACTGTCGAACTGGCTCCACGGGTCCGAATGTCCTGTTGTGCATACACGAACACCCTAATGCCGGCTCAAGCGGACGATAGACAGTGGAAACGTGTGCTTCTTTGCATTTGCATGCGGCCAGTCCTTGAAACTCCAGGCCTGTTGTGAAACCCGGAAACCGAGCACGAAACACTGTGCAGTATGTGCCGCACACAGGCTCACACCTGCGAAGGGCGGAATAGCAAGAAGTCCACCACCATTGAAGCAGATTCCAAACACAACCAGGGTACTGGATGTAGCAAGGGCATAGTCTTCTGCCTCCTTCTGCTCAATGGGGCCGGCCCCCACCGAAAACGAGGGAAGTGTATTGAGAATCAGAAGTGCTCGAGCTCGCTGAGTCACTGAGGCCCTGGCGCGCACGGCACTCACGGCCATGGCCATGGCAACGTCCTCTAGCACGCTCTCTACGGAGCCATGCGGCCTGACGAGGCACACAAGGACGCACGAGACTCACAACGAGGGCAAAGGTGCAGGATCTTGAAATGCTCGCATGCAAATTTGTTCCAGCACGCGAAGCTGCGAAGCTGGCTTCAAGCACTGCACAAGTAGCAGTCTACCCAGGTCATCTGTTAGCCGGATCCGGCAGCTCTGCATAAGTACCTGGAAGAAAGCCGTGATTGTGTGAATCTGGCATCCTTTGCCACCATGTATGCCGGACTGAATTTTACCTCTGGCTTCTCATGAGACGCTTCAGAGCAGCCTGCCCAGGCAGGACAAAACGACCGTCGTTGCGGTTCAATCTTTGGTAGTCCTCGGTACAGCCGCAGGGAAGCCGCTACCGAGCTCTGTTGTCGTCATGCAGCCTGCGTTGCAAGTCAAGGACATCTTTCGGCAAGCCAGACATTGCTGGATAAAACAATTCTGCCAGACGACACTTCGACTGATGAATTGGAGAGAGCGTAGTACGAGCCACCAAAGCTAATAGGCTTGAGGGGAATGCCTTCGCCGAGATACTCATTAATCTTGTCTAGGAAAGGTCCATTCAGCAGCATTGGCAAGAAAAGGTTGATGGAGAGAGCTGTCGCAACCCATGAATCGTCCTTCGTTTTGGTGACGTCGAACCAGCTGGCATGCAGAGCTTCAATCCTGGCCTTGAACAGTTGATCGCAGGGGGCCAGGTGCACCATGAACGGCTGCAAAATTGAACTGGCTGTCGTGTTCACCCGCCACAGAAAACTTGAATTGTTGGACACCGTGTCCAGCAGGTGGAAGTCCACCGAAAGGGGAATGGTCAAATTAAGGCCATCGGACAATTCGACAACTGGCCGTCCAGATGTTTGAATTGTCGCCGATACTGCACAAGGCTTCCAAAACGGACAGTCGAAGGCATACATAGTTGCCAGCCACGGGCAGTAGAATGCAAGTTCCAGACTCAATGTATCCAGAGCAAACAAACTGTTATTGGGCAGGTCCTGTGGGAAGACAGTGTGGCTTAGTGCACCAGACTCATGCAGGACTGCAAGGAGACTGTTCGGCACACTTTTGCTGAGCGCCATGGCGAACATCGTCGTGTTAGAATGATTTTCGAGAGCCAGCCCCGGAACGGAAATCTCCTCTGGAAGCGCTTCTGGAGACTTTTCTGCAAGTATGTGATATGATGCTGCTTTGAAATCAAGAGACTGGAGCATGCCGAGTGGGGTTAAAGTCAACTGCACTTGGGCTTCTCGCGATGACAGAATCTGTATTCTGTTTGGAAGCGTGCGCAAGTTTGCATCCAGCTTCTGCTCAATGATGTCTTGAAGAAGCTGCTCGACGTGCGACCTAGTGAAGAACAGAATCGTGTCTACAAGCCAACCAGGGACATCACCATTCAGCGCACTGATGGCTGCGCACGGCACCGAACTCCAAAAGCCCGGGCTGACACAGGACAACTCAAGTGTAGGCTGAACATGCAGCTTTGGCGTCACAAGGCTGCCGACCCCGACCGCGATGCGTTTGTCCACCACAGCTATGTTGTAGTTGCCATGAAAAGTTCCATCCACTTTGACGAGAAGCTCGCCCTTGGATTCTGGTGCCGAGACCTTCAGGCTTGCTTTTGCAAGCAAACCTTTGACCTCAACACCTACTTGGACACCAGCTTGAGTCCAAACTGGCGAAACGAAGCTTACGCTTGGTAAGCTCGTCGCAAGTAAGTCCCCAATCTCAAGGCTGATTCCGAAGGCGATGTTGACAGTCTGCTTTCTCATCAACGGGGACTGAACGATTTTATGAGCCACAAAATCCTTTGATTGGGACAACATGAAGTCCAGTCCAGAATAAGTTGCCCAAACCTCTGCGTTGGAGCGAAGGGTAACCCCATCAGCTGGAGGCCGAGAAACCAGCTGAAGGAAGGCAAAATCCTCGTCGCAATTGCCTGCATCAAGACTGAAAACTGGCGATGATGAGACCAACAAGCACCAGAAAATGCACGGAGTCAAGCTCCTTAGATGGAGCTCAGATTGACTCGCTGACGCCATAAGGCCGTTGGTCAACGATTGAGTTACTCTTAGGTCTTTTGCTCTACTCAGTACGAATGCAAGTGTCGTTATGGCCTGTCCCACAACGAGAAAGCAACACAGACATGCAAAATCTTCACGGTCAACGTGCTACATCTTGCTGAATGACGGTAACAAAAGGCGGCGCAAAGCACACGATGATCAGCATTGTTGCGAAAAGGGAACTTGGTTGAAAAAGATGTTGAATCATATGCTGCTTGACAGAAATCAAGGCACTGGCGCTTCTGAGCATCCTCCTGCCAGCGCAAATACACTACTGATCTTTCGCGCGACTAGTGAGCGAGGATTGCAACAAAACAGGCCTCTCTTTGGTGAAGGCTCACCAGCACCTCCTTGAAGCAGCTGACCTCCTGCCTCCTAGGTTCCGTAGGTCGTGAAATACAACCGCACTTCTGTCTATGTCCCAATCACCAAGTGCCCACAGTACGTAGGGCCCCCTCAACTTTCAACTTCTGGGGCTTGCTGAAATTCTTGAACTTGCAATTGTTGATGGTGTCTCTACTCTTCTCCTTTGTAGTCTATGATGGATCTCTGGGATCCAGAAGCTGATCCACAGTGGCAAGCACGACAACAACCAGCTCCACCACTCAGGAGCCGTGTCGCTACGACAAAAGAACGCGGGTAACTGCTAGGTATGTCTCGGGTTTACCTTCATATCACAGCACCACTTCCTAAGCATCCATGCTGTCCCGGTGGAAACATCCCAGCACCGTTTCCTTGAGCCTCCAATGGTAAGGTTCGTGTTGCCATAAGATTTGCCTCCTGATTATCCATGCTCTGTGACCAGCCACAATATGTCGTGTTTCTTGGGCATCTTCTTCTCATCAAACCATGCGCTTTGTTGGTAAGAAACAGCCGGGGCGGACGAACCCTTTTCGGAAGTAGCAGGAGCCCTTCAGGCTTCCGACGATGCGGAAAGACAGTCGCACGGGGCGCGCGATGAAGCTGTGGGCACTTTGTAGAACTCCATGCGAATCCTGTCTACACCGGACCTGGAGATCTAGGAAGCGTAACTCTTGTCAATCGTATGACAGCTTCTGCAGGCTTCCATATACAAACTCTGCAAACGTTGGTAGGTGGTAGTTAATAGTCAGCAGTTAGTAGGTAGCAGTCAGGAAACAGCAGTTCGTCGTTAAGCATTCATAGTGTCTGTCGCGAGAAGCACTGAGCGAGAAGTCGTAGCTCGTACTTAGCAATTAATAGTGGAGTAGTAAGTAGCAGTTTTTTTTTCGGTAGCCGTAGCTGGTACTAGTACTAGTATTAGTAATAGCACTAGTAGAAGAAGTGGTCGTCGTGGTCGTCCTCGTTGTGTTTTATCGCGAGGGTCCCGAAAAGGAGCAAACGACCTCGTTTTCGCAACGAACCGGAGGAATCCACAGCAAAAACACGGTCGATTGCTCTGGTTCGAAGCGGGGCTCCGGGATCGGATCAGGACCCGGGCCCTATAGAGTTAAGGACCCTTTGGAGTTGGAGTTAAGCCGCACAGTTAAGGACCCTATACCTACAATTGAGCCTCGAAGCTGAAAAATCGATAGCAACAATGTTGTCGGGGATAGTTGGTTTCTTGTCGCGGGTAGTGGGGAAACTGTCGTGGCTAAGGCACGTTCTCGTCGTCCTCGTTGTTGTTGTTGCCGCAGCAGTAATCGTAGTAGTAGTAGTAGTAGTAGTAGTAGTAGTAGTAGAAAGAAGTCGTCGTCGTCGTCCTCGTTGTTGTTGCTGCCGCAGCAGTAGTAGTGACAGTAACGGTAGTAGTAGTAGTAGTAGTAGTAGTAGTAGCAGTAGCAGTAGTAGCAGTTGTAATAGTAATAATAACAAGAATACGTCATACAATTAGTAGTGGCTAATGGCTAATGGCTAAAGGCTAAAGGCTAAGGGCTAAAGGCTAAGGGCTAAGGGCTCAGGGCTAATGGCTAACGGCTAATGGCTAATGGCTAGTTGCTAGTGGCTAGTGGCTAATGGCTAGTGGCTAGTAAGTAGTAGATAATAGCTGGTTCATAAAAGTTAGTAGTTGGTAGCAGTTGCAGCTAGGCGTTTGTAGTTTTTGAATATTAGCTCGTAAAGGTGAAGGAAGGCAGAGTTTCTCTGAGAAAACATGAAGTTCTACCACAGGTCGGATCAACTCAAATTTTCTTCTGCTACCGGATGCTGTGGTTTGGTCGGCTTGGCTGCTCTCCTGCTCCTCGTTCATAAAGAACCCCCCTGGACAGCCTACCCTTCACCTGTCTGTAGCTCGACCTTTGTCACGCCCGCCGCTGTCGTCGACCCTGCCCGCAGGCCCTGTCCGCCCCTGTCCGCCCCTGTGCTAGGCCCTGTCCGTAGGCCCAATCCATTTTTGCAGTAGGCCCTGTCCGCACCCTTGTCGTAGGCCCTGTCCATCGGCAAGTAGTAGTTAGTAATCATTAGTAGTAGTTAGTAGCAGTTAGTACTAGCTGGCAGCAGTAGTTGTTGTTGCTGTAGCTGTAGTGCTGGCAATATCCGTTCAGCAGCGTCGCACGGTCCACCAGTGCTCGACGAACGGGAGACAAATCTCGGATCCGGCCGCTTGTAGCAGCGCCATGACTGTTGCAGTTGCATACCTCTCTCAGACACCTCTAATATCGCTTCTTCAGAACTAAAATGCAAGCTCTTAATCTAAGGCATCCAGATCGATCACTGTACAGTTGAACGTCACATCAGTTTCAGTATCAGGCGAAACTTCAGTGGACGGCGATTGGGCTTTAGAGGCTCCGGAACCACCCGATGCACCCATGGTTCTGGAAGATCGAAAGTTCATCGATGCATTCGAAGTCTGAGTCGACAAAGTAGTAGTAGTAGTAGCCGTCGTCGTCGTCGCAGTAGCAGAAGCAGTCGCAGTAGTAGTAGTAGCAGTAGCAGAAGCAGCAGCAGCAGCAGTAGTCGCAGTAACTCGTAACTGGTACTAGAAAGTACTAGTAACTAGTACTAGTAGTAGTAGTAGTAGTAGTAGTAGCAGCAGCAGCAGGAGGAGGAGTAGTAGTAGTAGTAGCAGCAGCAGCAGGAGGGCGTTGTAGTATTCATCGTCGTCAGCGTCGTCTTCGTCGTCGTCGTACAAGTGGTTTCAACAGCAACGGTAACTACAGCAGTAATAGCACCTCATTGCGGTTTATAGAACTCAAACGAGCATCGACCAAACCAGGGAGATTCCAAAGACCACGGAGATGTTTGGAGACTTTTTGCCATCCCTCATACGCATGACCTATACGCATGAAGTATAGTATAAGCAGTATATGCTATAAAACCACCACTTCCAGAGCAGCACCGTTGTCAGCGAATGGACTCTGCCTATGCATTGCTACAACATTCAGCGGACTTTCGTAGACCAGCCTATCATGCAGGTATTGGAAGCGAGAGGCGGGAGGGGTTCAGTTCCAATTCGAGTTCTAGTTGTGGGGTGGGTGGGGGCGTTCGGGTCGTGTTCGAGGTCAGGTTTGAGATCGACGTGGCTGCCATTTGTTTACGTTGGTGGTGTGGTTTCAGGTTCGGTTCGAATGGAGTTCTAGAGATGCGCTTTTTTGCAGAGCGGGCTGTAGAGGGTGGGTCAGGTCTGGTGGGGCATCGCATTGTTTCTGTCTCGCGGGCAACGGGTTCAGTCTGGAGATCCGGTGGTGAAGCGTTTCGGGAAATGCAAGAGCCTGTTTTACAAGTAGTGGTTTTCGAATTCGGAACCGGGCTTGGGATAAGGACTCAGATTCCACGACTGACAACTTGCACACACTGCAGTGCAGGGGCTGGATTGACGGGCTTGCTTGTTCAGCACACCACAGTTGATATCTCTCGCTTGTCTCTCTGACCACGTCCAACTATCGGTGTCATCAAGAGGAGCTGAGGACAGCCAAAACCTACAAATACGAACATGAATGCCAGAACCAGCACTCTTTACTGAGCTATATAGCTGAAGATAAACGTGCATCAACCATGTGCACGATGACCAGAATGCAAAAAAAAAGTGACCTCACATCACACATCAATAAGCAACTAACAACACCGTGTTTGGCGAACATGAAGACGAAGATTCAACATGGTTTGGGCTGGCTCGGCTTGAAAGCCTGGAACTAAGAAAGCAAAACGTTAAGATTTGACAAGACAAGACCACGAGGAGAGTTGGACGATGGAACCAGCGTGCAGCTTTGTGGGAACCTTACACAAAAGTCATGCAACATGTGCTCATCTGTCATGGTCAACCTTCAGATAGGATAATGGGCCCTAGCGCCCAACAGATCGAACACCACGACAACAAGAAGCATCGATGTCAGAATGGGTGACGGCCTGCTGGTCTGCGAGAAACAGGTGGCAGCGGTGTGGTGCGGCTTCGGGTGCGGGCTGAATAGGCAGCAGCGTTCACAACATGGAAGCCATGTTCAACAAGAACCATGTTGATACGGTGAATTTCAACGAGCATCGAATTCCAATGCTGCCCGGTTCGGTTCTCGATAGTCTTTCCATGTCTTTCCTTCACACACACACACACAAGCCATATGCGACCCGGAACCGATGGAATGCCGAGGCGCCCAGTCCGTAGCATTCCTGCTCAAGCAGAACGAGCTTCTTCACCAGGGGCCTCAATCTAGCATAGCATCTAGATTGCATCTAGCAGAATAACATCAAGAAATTCGCACGCTACACGCAATTGTGGCTGCGCCGGAATTCGCCCCATGGACGATTCTTGAGTAACTGTCGCTTCCTTGAAATCATTTGCAAAACCACCTGGCTCACAGCAAGCTCAGGCTCGGGCAAGTACCTTTCGGCCTCGCCAGGATGTCGCACACATGCACTCCGTCCATGATTCCAGAAATCTGCTTGGGGCCAGTTACACTCGGCGGGGGGATCAAACCGGACAGAAACGAAGTCGTGACACTTCGTGAGCATCGTCATGAAACGCTGCTTATGCTGGTACACCCCCCTTCCCAGCTCATGCCGTGCGATCATCATCAGCCACATGCTGAATATCTAGCACATGCCGGGAGTGCCTTCCAGTTTGGGTCTGACGAACAGAGAAACCTTAAAGATCTTCTGAACCCTGAATGTGCTCACAACCATAAACTGAACCCCCTTTTTTTATCGCTCCCTGGACGCGACGGCACAGTGCAATCGATGATGCAAGTTCAAGCAAGAGCTGCAGCGTGCCTGTGGTGGCCAGGCGGGATCGCTGCAGTCACTCTGTAATGGATTGGCCTCGCAGAGAAAAGGAAATCTAACGAGCGATGACTGACGGGACAGGTCGATGGATGTGTTGTGACCTCGGTCATGAGAGTCGCGATAACACCATCGATGTCCTTTCCCCCCGTCGAACCTCTCATCGGCATCCATTCTCATACGCAAGAACTGAAGGACCGAGCCTTCGGAAATCTGCTTGCACACCGCACTGAAACCTGCAAGGCCCATTTCGTTCTCCAGGAAAAATCGTAAAGCCTGGAGCTGGCAAGCAAGTGCGCAAGATTACAGGGTCGCGGCACACGGCTCTGCGGCCTCGATGCGGTAAGCCAACGAGTCGTCCTTGCTGACATGCCTGACTCCATCCAAAATGCGAAGAAATGAGAGATTGCTCGAAACACTCTGTTCCTGTAGGGACCTTGCAAATTGAACATTCCACCGTCTGGATGCACAACACCAGAGATGCGATCTGGCAGTCAAACACGAATGTAAACCAGCGCAACTGATAGCCGCCGTCACGTCATCCTTACAGCTACAAGCTGCATTAGGGGCCTGCTTCGTCCTGTTCGGAAAGCAACAGGCAAGCCTGACGGGATGTCGCTCCAGGTGATTCTGCATCGTGCCCTTCCCAATGCATCATTTCGCTCAAGTCTGGTATGGCAACTCATCGACGCTCACAGGCGAACGCAACTAGCTGCATTTCTTCTTGAAGCAATATGGTGGCATTTTGCACCAACCCCGCTCCTGGCAGGGAAACCAATGACAAGACTAAATACAAGAAACGAGCCGCTGCCCCAAGAATATTGACCTATGATGCTAGAAATGTTCTAGCACTGTTCGCACGGCAGACGAACATCAAGGGAATTCCGGCAGGCCGCGACCACCCGACCCCACCCTACCCCACCCCACAAAACCACGCCCCACCCCACCCCATCTTTTTCACCTCCCTGCTCAGCTGTGATTCCGGGTAAACCTAGACCGACAAGGTCCTGCCGACGACTTGATCTTTTGCTTGTGCAGAACAGCAAGCAAGAAAATTACACTTACTATTACAACAAAAACATTCGTTGCAATAATATTGTCTGCCTTGGGCCGGTGGTAGACAACCCCTTCTTGGGCCACGCTGGAGCCTGACAGCCTTTGCCAAGGAAACACTTGCGATTCTACGACTTCTGACGCTCACATCTGTCATATCAGCCAACAATGCAACAAACTGAATGCTTCAAGGCGACATGAATTGCTGTTGCACAGCTGCCGTCACTGTGGATGGATGCCCTGTCTCGCGACCTCCAAGTTAGGACAAAGTGAGAGCCCACACACACACACACACACACACACACACGCACACACACACACACACAAACAAACAAACACACACACACACACAATCATGTGGGATTTCGGCAAGAGCAAGAAGCAAGAAGAGAAGAAGGGGCGAGGCAGGGTTGCTATTGCTTGTTTCACACAAGCGACGGCTGCTGTAAACTGTCTTCGAAACAACAGCAAGGATAATCAATGCACAACGAAGATGCTAGATGCTTCTTTAGGTTCAGTATCACATGCAGGTACACCAGAGTGTCGCAACTCTGGTTCCCACATCATTGGTAGCTTCGTTGGATGCAATCCCAGTGATGTGCTGCATCCCTTTGCAGTGCGGAAAGGCAGACCAATGTAGGAGTGACCCTTTTTTCCCGCACACACATCCCCACAAATGTGGGGCAGACCCTGCAGCAAAATTGTGGTTTCACTCCATGGTCGCCATGTACAAGCGTGTCCACACACGCATGCCTTGTAACAGGGCCGCATCGTTCAGTCGGACTCTGTTCATCTTTATCAGCCAGCAAATGTGATGAAGGGTTTCTGAGAAGGCTTCGGCTAGCTGTCTTGCTCAGTGCAGGCTGCTGAATGCTCTCAGCAGCAAAATGAATTGAGCCAAGTTCTCCCGACATGGAGTAACTGCGTTTGAACTTCAAAGGTCGAATCGGATTGGTTTCCTTTTCGGCGAGGAGTTGCCGATCCTGCTGTGCTTTTGGATCGAATCCACCGCCACAAGACACTGCCGTCAGTTTCGGTGGTTGACTGCCATGTCCAGCGCAAGAAGCTGGCTGAGGTGGAGGGGTTCGGCTGCGATCTTTGTCAGCCATTAATACTACCGAAGAAATGTAAGGAGAAGAGTTGGCTGCGGACAGTGTTATTCATTGATAGTGCCCAATGGTCCGACAATGTATTGTGTGGAGCTATTTTTCCGCGGATTATTGGCTGACTGCTCCCGTATCGGCATGCCAACTGCGCGAAAGTAGAGTCTACGATAGTGATACAACGGCAGTCGAATCAGTTGCCAGAAAGTAAAATTGCGAGGTCTCATGACAATTATTTTAGGTTTGGTGGAGTGTGTAGGCGGTGTTGTTAATGGGCACGGAGGCGCAATAGTGTGTTGCCACTCCTGCGAGGTAAGGCAGTTTTTGATATGCACATAGGCGTCTTGACATGTTGCTGCCAGGCGACACATGGTAGTCGTCTTTGTTGTAGTGTAAAATGCAACGTTGTAAACGCGAAGGGGGTGTCGGCTTGTAGTTCGGTAGCATGTTGATGTGGTCGGTGGGTCGCTTGACGGACGCAGGTGCTGCACTGGATGCAGTTGGTCTACAAATGTAATTTTGGCCTTGGTATCGAAGTTCGCACGCCCATGCGGTGGGTTGGATGTGGAACTGCACAATGTAAAGAAACGGGAGCACCGAAAAGTTGCTGTTGCCAGGCGTGGTTTCCATGCTGTTCACGGCTAAAGCGAGCCTACTCGATGACGAAATGGCTGCGGCGGTGGCTTTTGGACTGCCATGCCATGTATGCAACGTATGTATGCCTGTCTGTCTTTCAATGGGGGGCAGGTCTGGCTGAGTTATGTGCGAGTTGCTGCACCAAAGTAAAAAGTTCTGGTGTAGAGGCTCTGTAGAGGATGGGTGATGCAACTCGGTGGGCTCGTCGATGCGATGCTGTTGTCCACATACTAGTAAACTAGTAATTCCCGAAGTTGGGCAGGTAGTGGTTGTTGCAAGCTCCGCACATTCGTCATGTAGCAGTGTGTCGGCTGACGGCGCAACGGTCTCGTTGAGAACTCTGTGCGATAAGATACGGGCGCACCATGCTGAGGCATTGCTTGCTCGTAGCTATGAGTGCTCCGATCACCCGGGGCTCCACGGCGTAGGCAAGTAAGCCATACTACTGTCCCTGGTTGTCGTCATGATCCAACCTCGGTGGGTTATGCCGGATGATCTGCCTGAATGCGCTGACGCAGAACTGGCTGTCGTACCTCCTGATGTTGGCCCCTGCTATGTAGTCGGAAACCGCGTCCATGCTCCAAAGAGTGCTCTGTGTGAGCAGAAGAAGCCATAGTTGTACGTCGACATGTTGCAGCTGCATATGTGGCTGCATTGCTTCGTCTAGCTGCAAAGATCTCTTCAACAAGCGGCTGCAGTACACAGGTGGGTCTGCTGTATGTAAATTGAAGGCAAATGAATTTGCGTTTTGTTCTCTAAGCAACGGTGTCAGCTGTCGTGCTGCTAGTCGACCGCGTTTCCGCAGTATCATTTCGATTATGTCCAATTGCTGCTTCAGTAATTCATGCTGCATCTTCACCAACCTTTCAGCTTGTTGTTGTCTGGTCGACATGGACTCCAGTTGACGCCGAAGACGTCCCAATTCTTGTAATAGAAGTCCTGTGTCTCCTTAAGGTTCACGTTGCTCCGGGTGTGATGGCTTTGGGCTGATGGTATTCGGAGAAGGTCTGGCTGGGGTACAAAAGCGTCTCGGTGAGGGTGTTCTTGTACTACCCGTAGGAAGTGCTGTCGAAGTGGTGGTGGGCAAGATGGCTCCGCCGGTGCATCTGTGCTTGGCTGCTTGTGGAGTGTGGCGTGCCTGGCTTCCGTTGTGATCGCCTGTACATGCGTTGTGAACTTGTTGGTTGCTGCCACAAAACTTAGCTGTCGACATAAGCTGGTCACTGCCTCACTTGTTTTTTTGCTTTTCTTAGCTTGGATTGTAATAGCTGTAGTGACTATAGTGTGGAGACATGACTGCAGGGTATCAAAGATTGACTTAGGAAGTGGGAAAACGGTCACGCCACCAATCCAATACCGGTGATGGAGAAATGCCTTGCGTGCCATCCCCACTTTTCTGGGCTGCGTACGACGCCTTTTTGGCCCGCAATGAAAGCTTCTCGCCGTGTGTCTCTGTAATCAATCTTGTAAGGTTGAAATTTTTGGATCGGATCGCTCCGGATATTAAACACACCCTGCTCTCCTTTGCTGCGTCGTGGGGCATTGTCCGGCACGATGTGTTTTGCTTGTTCGTTGAGCTGGCCGGAAGTGGCTGATCCGTAGATCACTGTTGCTGGAATCCCAGCGTTGTTTGCTGAAAATGTGTTCTGGATGCTGGTGGGTCGGACCAGGTCTCGCAGCAAAATGCCGGATGTTGCTTGCATGTCTGTGCCATGACAGCACTAATAATGTTAAAAGGGCCCAGGTGGCGTTGTGGCCGATATCGGAAAGGAAGGCATTCTTCGCTCTTCCACCGTACATACAAGCATACAACCCATCGGAGATATCCATGACGGAAGCGCTGAGCTCCTGGCATGCCTCCTGTGTTCCCGATGCGCAACGGCATGCGCTAAATCATATATGTCGTTGATGTTGATGCTTTGTTGTGGAGGTATCTGACAAAACTATCTGATACCGGGGTGTTGATGTGGCCGCTGTAAGTTCTGCATGTAATGTTGTGGCGGGTGTGTCCCCATCAGGCTCGTGGTGTCCAGTTGCGCGTGTGGTGGTTGTAGGGTTTGCATCTGAAATTGTTGAGGTCCTTGTGGTATCCAAATGTACGTGCGTTGTGACATGGCATGTGACGGTGGTATCATGGCGTTGTGGAGGTTGGGCTGCACGGCATTGTGCTGTAGTGGTGGTTGTGATTGATGTAGTGGTTGTGTGTGTGGTAGAACTTGGCCGCCTTGCGGATGTGCATCTGCAGGGACATCCGACACCCATCGGGGTCCATGGCAGCGAGTCGTCGCAGCAGAGTGCAATTTGGTGCACAGCCTCAAGCAAAAACAAGGCAGGCTGACCACGGATGGTCCACTTGGGGCATGAACCTCTAGGCGATCCGTCGTAGTAAATGACAACTAGTGTGCTGTCAACTACTTACAACCCCATGGACTTGCAATCTCAGATACATGATGCTGGTTTGCATGTGGCTAAGTATGTGGACAGGATCGTCAGCCGTAACCGGTGGAAAGTATGTCGGTGACGGACCTGCTTTTCAAATCCGAGTGTTCTCCTAATCTTGCACTGATCTAGCACTTGGCATACTCTCAGCAGCTATTTTGACCGTGATGCTTCTGAGTCAGGCTTTGGGCCAGCCGGGAACCCTAGGCCAGAGGCTGGACCATAGGCAAAAGATCACCCCCTGACTAGGCTTTGTGAAATCGTCGGTAGAGACAAAAAAATATGTAATATGGCCACTACCTGAGTTCTAAAGAGAACCGAAGGCAAGTTTCAGAAGGCTGAAGAATGGAGGCTACCTGTGCTTTGCAGGTAGAAAGGCTCGAGCTTGGAAGGCCTGCAGGGGCTGCATAGGCCGAGGCAACTAAATGGTCTGCCCGAGGCGAGGAGACCGGAGTGAACCGAAGAACTGTGCTCAGCGTCGTCTCAAGGCTTTCCAACCTCCTGGACCGGAGGCGAGGTAGGGTAGGCTATGGGTCGCCCAAGGCGGGGCCTGTGCGTGGAATTTCTGCTTCTTCGACAAGTCCTGCATCGTAGACATACGCAGAGGTCGAATTGGCCGGACCTCTAGTCTTGGGATGGGCTCATACCTTCGACTCCTTGGCGGTGGGAATGGCAATCCCTAGAAAACTCTCCGACCAGGCGGAGTCCCCTCTTTGGGCGGAACTGCAGGGACCTTGGGTCTATGCCAAGACATTCTGGGTCTTTTGATGGAGTGGATCGTCCATGAGGGCGCGGCAAACCCCCCCTTCTTGGCCTGGGTATGTGTGACAGAGGCAGCAGAATGGGCGGAACTGTGTATCCGCACTCCTGGTTGGAGTTGAACCTGAGGCAGACTGTAGGGGCAATTCTGCAGGGCGACTGCGAGCTCTGAACCTCTTGGCTACGCATACAACGGGCCCGACCAGATGGGCTGGGTCCTCGTCGGATCCTACCTCTATCGGCTGCTCGATCTGTCTCTGAGCGAGGCTGAGGTCGCATGGCAGCGGTAACTCCGTAGGCATCTCCAAATTGGAG